CCATTTCTAGGTCTACCCACGAAATGATATGTGAGAATATTTTAGGGGGTGTTCTCTTTGTGTTTCAGTTTTGTGTTTTGAGTTTTGAATTCATTTTGAGTTTTTTTAATTTACTGATATGATGGCTTTTATGGATCGATGAACAGGTTAGATTTGATAATTATGAATATTAGACTAGACTCGACAATATAATGTAAAGATTTTAGCTTCTTCTTTTTTTATTTTTTTTGGGTCCATTTTTAATATAGTACTTTCTATTCTTTAAACTAAAATTATCTAATGTCTTATTGCTTCACTTGTTGGGCATGTTCAAATGTTAGAGGCTGTTCTTTTCGTGTTTCAATTTTATAGTTTTGAATTTTGAATTCATTTTGGATTTTCTGTTTTGAGTGTCTGTTTTGAAATTACTGAAAATGTATTTTTTTGCCATTTTGGAACCATTTCTCGTGTTTTCAATTTTTTCAAGTTTTACACTGAAAACGCCCAAAACGACAAAAAAGTCGTTTTGTGTTTTCTTCACAAATTTTTTTCGTTTTCGAAAACGTTTTCGAAAATTCATTTTCGAAAACGGGAAAGAGAACACGTTTTCACCGTTTTGAAAAATCGAAAACAGAAAACGACCCGAAAACGATAAAGAGAACAGGCCCTTAATCTTTGTCATTCCCGCCTCCCAAATATCCCAAGACTGAACAGGAATGTTTGCACCAGCTTAGCCACTTCGTCATTCCTACTTCTAACCTATTTCATGTCCCAATCCCCCTTCACTCAGAAAAAGAATGATACGTTGTCAAATGCATAAATGCCAAGGACATGTAAAGCAAAATTGATATGAAGTTTATCATCGACACACTGTCAATTCCATTACATCTTTAACATGTATAATAAAGTCGAATATATAGGAAAAAGATAATTCACATAGTTGGTTCCAAATTTATTGATAATCAAGCTAACTTCGTTGTTGTTCTCATGATTAATTAATGGAATTTTAATTTCCTATCAAATTTTGTTTAAGTTATCTTTTATCTTGAAATTTTAGTTGTTTTTATTATATAAGTAAAATTAGTATGTAAATACCATATTTGTAAAATAATTACAATTTTTACCTATAAACATGAAAAAAAATTGTGATTATTTGAAAATAAATTAGACTCTAATATTAGTATTCTAAAATATTTGCTTATACTCCGGCTAGACTCGAGCCTCAGAAAAACGCTTCCCCTCACTCCTAGGCGACAAAGTAGACAATAGACTTTACCTTGACTGCTTAGGGCACACTTTTTTACTGCAAGTGTATTTTCTTGTTTTGAATCCAGCTCAACATCATTGCTAAAACATAGAAAGGAAATTAGTAAAAAAAAAAAGAAAAACTCACCACATTCCAAAATCAACCTAAAACGTAGCTTTCTCTATCAACGAACAAAACATTGTTATTTTAGAATATTTTATGATTTCAAGAGTTACGTGTTTGTTGAAAACTCGAAAATATATGGGGATGGATAAAAGTTGTCATAATTGTTGTATCAAATCAAAAGGTTGGGGACCAACCGTTTTGATCTGGTTCTACTCAAGTTCTAACCAATTCTGAATATTAAAATTGAGAATGGGCAGATTTCAATCCGTTTCTCAGTTCTAATACCAACAACTAAACTTAATTTAAACCTTTAAAAAAAATAAAATGGCGGGTGCAATGCAATAATCGTTGTACTTTTTTCTTATGAGTTTCACATAATACATCAAACTCTTTCAATTTAAAGTGGTGTTATTTATAAACAAAAACAAAATGATCCATTAAATTTCATAAATGTAATTTAAATTAATAGGAAGATTGGGTTCCTTTCATTTCTGGCGCTACAAAGTATAAGAAAAATAGAAGTGATATTGAAAGATATTTTAAAGAACTCATTCAAGTAAATAGTTAAGCATATGATGTAACTAATCATGTTTAGTTAAACTTAAATTTTACAAATCATTACTATCAATATAAATCATTTTAATAACTAAATTGGACCGAAACTGAAGGATTCGATTATATATTTATTATCGAAGATGCCAATTCTCAGAAAACTCATTGGTACATAATTCAGTTCTCTTTAAAATCTTACCAAATCGAATTGCGTTTCTCTTAAAAATATATGAAATTTGTCCATAGATTTTTAAATTGAAAAAGCTACATGTAAATCAAGGTTTATATAATACCTTGTATAATGTTAGATGACACTCTATCACTTGCTACTTTAAAACACAATCAAACTTTTCATCCAATAATTTTTCTCCACATCAATTTCGATTATTGCTCTTATCAAATTTTCCTCACAAACAGCAAATTCCTTTTTAAGCCCTCGTTTGGTACCCTTTTTTTCAAAATACATTTTTCACTCTCTTCTTTTCAACCACACATTCTTTATTAAAATTGTTGACCCCAAAAAGTGTTGTCAACAGATGCCGGTCCTACTGGGGCACACGTGGACGGTCTAAAACGAGCGGTTCAAACGGCGTGGGAGTAGCCCAACGAGGACGGTGACGTTCGGAATCTGACGGGTTGTTCGTAATCCAATTGTACAATAATTATCAACCGATATTTGTAAATGTATATGTAAATGTGTATAAACTCAATTTGTGTATTGCAAGTAAATGAGAGAGAGTTGAGTAAAGTGTAGTTCTTTGTATTAATTCTTGCATTAGCCTTTTGATGTTACACAAGGAAAGTATTTATAGTGATACATGTAAAATGGGAGCCCTTGGATGAGGTGGCACGTGGTCTCATCTCTTTGATTCAAACATCTTATCCTAGGAATGGGGCTTGACTTGCTAGCTTGCTGCGCATTTATTGCTTGTGCAGAACCTCCATACTAGTAACAAGACTTGACCTTTATGCTTATGACAAACGTTCCATCAATCGTTCAAATAAGATCTTTGTGTAGACGATCTCCTGGGAGAAGTGACCATGGAGGATGCTCCCTTGTGGTTCGAAGGCTTCTGCATCAGTTTCGGGGTTTCGGCCATTTCATACAATACTTCCACTTGAGGACTTTAGCTAACTTCAACCAGCTTCAGCATCATGGCTTTAGCTCATAGGCCTCAGCATGTGGACCTCGGTTACATTCATAGGCCTCGGTAAAAGGGCGCCTCGGCTAGTGGACTTCGGCTTGAAGGGCTTCTGCCATAGCCTACCTTGACAAATATATGCCACTCTCCTCGGCTGGAGTGCCACGTGGTTCGGCCTGAGTGGGCCATTGGCCCAGATAGGTTTGCCAAGTATGACAATACGCAACAAAAATAATATTACACATAAATCAAATATAATGTAACTAATCATGTTTAGTTAAACTTAAATTTTACAAATCATTACTATCAATATAAATCATTTTAATAACTAAATTGGACCGAAACTGAAGGATTCGATTATATATTTATTATCGAAGATGCCAATTCTCAGAAAACTCATTGGTACATAATTCAGTTCTCTTTAAAATCTTACCAAATCGAATTGCGTTTCTCTTAAAAATATATGAAATTTGTCCATAGATTTTTAAATTGAAAAAGCTACATGTAAATCAAGGTTTATATAATACCTTGTATAATGTTAGATGACACTCTATCACTTGCTACTTTAAAACACAATCAAACTTTTCATCCAATAATTTTTCTCCACATCAATTTCGATTATTGCTCTTATCAAATTTTCCTCACAAACAGCAAATTCCTTTTTAAGCCCTCGTTTGGTACCCTTTTTTTCAAAATACATTTTTCACTCTCTTCTTTTCAACCACACATTCTTTATTAAAATTGTTGACCCCAAAAAGTGTTGTCAACAGATGCCGGTCCTACTGGGGCACACGTGGACGGTCTAAAACGAGCGGTTCAAACGGCGTGGGAGTAGCCCAACGAGGACGGTGACGTTCGGAATCTGACGGGTTGTTCGTAATCCAATTGTACAATAATTATCAACCGATATTTGTAAATGTATATGTAAATGTGTATAAACTCAATTTGTGTATTGCAAGTAAATGAGAGAGAGTTGAGTAAAGTGTAGTTCTTTGTATTGATTCTTGCATTAGCCTTTTGATGTTACACAACGAAAGTATTTATAGTGATACATGTAAAATGGGAGCCCTTGGATGAGGTGACACGTGGCCTCATCTCTTTGATTCAAACATCTTATCCTAGGCATGGGGCTTGACTTGCTAGCTTGCGGCGCGTTTATTGCTTGTGCAGAACCTCCATACTAGTAACAAGACTTGACATTTATGCTTATGACAAACGTTCCATCAATCGTTCGAATAAGATCTTTGTGTAGACGATCTCCTGGGAGAAGTGACCATGGAGGATGCTCCCTTGTGGTTCGAAGGCTTCTGCATCAGTTTCGAGGTTTCGGCCATTTCATACAATACTTCTACTTGAGGACTTTAGCTAACTTCAACCAGCTTCAGCATCATGGCTTTGGCTCATAGGCCTCAGCATGTGGACCTCGATTACATTCATAGGCCTCGGTAAAAGGGCGCCTCGGCTAGTGGACTTCGGCTTGAAGGGCTTCTGCCATAGCTCACCTTGACAAATATATGCCACCCTCCTCGGCTGGAGTGCCACGTGGTTCGGCTTGAGTGGGCCATTGGCCCAGATAGGTTTGCCAAGTATGACAATACGCAACAAAAATAATATTACACATAAATCAAAAAAATTTCATTATTTTTCAACCACATACTTCCCATCAAATTATTGTTTTAAAATGTATTTTTACATAAAAATAACTCTCAAACACCCCCTAAATTATTATTGATCTATGCTACTTAAAATAATATTAAAAATAGAAATACAAATTGATAAGTTTTATAATTTGACCTCTACATAAAAATAACTCTCAGACACTCCTAAATTATTATTGATCTATGCTACTTAAAATAATATTAAAAATAGAAATACAAATTGATAAGTTTTATAATTTGACCTCTACGTCTTTCTAAAATGTTTTTTCATGAGTATTTACCCTGCATTATCATCATTGAGCCTTTCTCTTACTCAAACCAAATATAAATAAATGCAATGCGGCAAATGACTTCTTTTGGCTTATCCTAAAGCCTTACATCTCTTCGTCCCTATAATCTGAAGAAAAACCTCCTCAAGATTCAGAAAAAAGTTAATCTAATGAGCCGGTGATTGGATTCGTACTGAGATCGCTCAGCCGCCTCAAGAAACCCTAGATCCCTACAATTTTTTTAGAATAATTGGTTTTGTAAAGGATCCGCAAGTTTTCAGGGTTTCTGAGAGCTACCATGGTGGGCCCACCACCGCAGATTGAATCAGCAGCTGCACCACCACCACCACGGACGGCGACAGCATCAGCTGAAGAAGAAGCGATTAAGAGAAACACAGATTGCGTTTACTTTCTCGCTTCTCCTTTAACTTGCAAAAAGGTTCTTTTTTTCCGTTTTTTGTTGGAATCATATATTTTACTCCTAGTATGTATTTGTGCGTGAATGAATTTTTATTGATTTTCTGCATGTATTAGATCTTTTCAGGAGATATATCGAAATTAATGTTTGAGGATCTATGAAGTTTTTAGGGATTTGGGGTTTTTTCGTCTCACTTTTGTATGTGAATTGTACGAGTACTTTAGGTGTTGGATTTTTTTCCCTTGGGTGATGGATTATGTGAGGTATAGTTTCCTTTTTGAAAAAACCACAATTTCGCTTGATTTCTTTTCTTCAACGTCTTTTAATTTATAAGGTTATAGATTAATATGTATGATTTTCTCATACGACTGGATTCTTTTTACTTTTCTTCAGAACGGTTATCAATTTATGAGTATAAGATATATATAGATCTCTCCGTCCATCCACACGCACTCATGTATCTTAGAATATATGTGCGCTGCATGTGTGTATTTTATGTAGTATTATATATGCACGTATACTTACAAGTGTAATTGTGTGCGTCTCTATTAAGAAAGTGCTGGTGTGTGAGGTTCAATTCATGGAATGAAATTCCTGTATAAAGTTTATTCGTTTCTATTTTCGGCAAGTTTTCTCATTTGGGAATAAAAAACACAGAATTTCGGGAGGCAGTTAAGATGGTGGTTTAGTTGTAAAATTGACCAATACGATGATTGATCATAAACTAGATTTTTCGATTGCTCTGGAAAAAATACTGTGCGGCATGTATTTTTGTTCTTTTTGCAAGTTTGGTCGTTTTGTCGCATTTGCTATTTATGCAACCTATTAATCGTTCCAGTTTCCTGCTTACTATTGTCTGTTGCTTTTCAAGTTTAATGCGACTAATTGATTACACGTTCTTATCCAAATTGTTACATGGAATCTGGTTCCCTGGTCTCAGTATTAGTTATTGTTGTCCACATAATTATATGCTTTGGTTTGAAATTTCTTGTCTTTGACCACCACCTCACTTATAAATAAATAAAATGAATTCAACAGACCGATAAAAAAAAAAAAGAATTCAACGGATTAAGCCCATTACTTCAGATATTGGTTCACAAGATGTACATTTGCTGAATTGCCAATAATTACTGACCGTGATTATAATTTTCACCGTTTAGTCTGACAATTTTGAATCCTATATGTATTCTTTGTTAATCTGAAATATCCTGTTCAGTTAAATGATTTTTATCGGCATTCTTTCCATCACGATGAAATATTTGTGTGATGTTTAGTGGGTCAGTACATTATTGTCCCCCTGCAGAGGCTTATTTTATCATTCTGTATGATGGTGGAATTCTGCCTGCTCTTTTTCCCTTAATATTTACGTTCCACTTATTCTTTGGCAACAGGGAAGTGAATGTGAGTATCGTCACAGTGACATTGCAAGGGTAAACCCGAGGGACTGTTGGTTCTGGTTACATGGTAATTGCCTGAATCCCAAGTGTGGGTTCCGTCATCCGGTGAGTCTTCTCTTTCTTGACATAGATGGTATTATTCTATCGACTTTGTGGTTTTAAGTAGACTGAAATCATGCATAGAAATTGATATTTTTTGGTGATATCACTGTTCTTAACTACTAGTTTTTATTATTAGCAAATGGGTATTGATCTTCTTTTTTCTTCAGCCGCTGGATGGACTGCTGGGTACACAAGCTCCAACTTCTGCTCCATCTGTTGTACCTCCATTGCAGACTGCCTCTGCACCTTCTCCACATGTTCCAAATGCCTCTGGTAAACAAGGAGTGCCCTGCATATTCTTCCAGAAAGGGTACTGTTTAAAAGGTGACTGGTGTCCATTTTTGCATGCACCGAATTCTGTGAGTAACAAAAATACACTGGCGCCTGGAATTTCTACTGCTGAGCTTGCGTCCTTTAAGAATACTTTTGGTGGACCTGAAAAGTTCACACAAGAAAAGAAGGTCCCATCTAAAACTCTAGAAAAATCTGGCGAGTTACCTTTGCATACAAAACCAATTATTAAAGTGGAACCTGCTCCACTGAGGAATGAATTTGCTGTAGGCAAAAAGACATTAGCGACGTTGGAGATGAATGAAGAGTTTTCCAGCTACAGACCAAGAAGTATGTCACCTGCTAATAATGGAAAGCAAGCCAGTAGGACTATCTCAGTTCAGCAATCTCATCCATTAGATGAACTTGGTGGTATGAACAGTAAGGATGCAGAAGAAATTTCGAGAGAGCCCTCTCCTGGTTTTGATGTTCTGGTGGATGATGAAGTAAGAGATTCTGATTACTATCCAGGTGAAGATCAGTATGGAATGACTGGAGATGACGAAGGCGGGAATGAATATGGCATTGGCCATTCTGCTGATTACAATTCAATGGTTGATGTTGACCGTGATATTTATCATGATCCTCATGGTTACGACTCGTATGAGCGCCTTCAAGGTCAATATGCTTGGGAGCAGCACAAGGCTTCATCTGAGAGGATGTCAGGAGGGTCTGCTTACCAGAATAGGAGACATGCTAGAGTCAGTAGCCCTGATCAAGTTAGTGACGCAGATCTAAGGCATCATTTATCAAAGCACAGAAGAGGTAATGGTTTGAGGTCTGTCATCAGTCAAGAACATGCACGTGACAGACATGAGGATCAAGGATACAAGGTTTCAAGTATGGACGCACAGTATTTACACCCACAGGAAAGTTCTCTTAGCAGTCGCCTTCGAGGAAGAATAAAGCTTCCAGGACGATCTCTTCCACTTGATGGAAGGGACTCGCAAGTTGATAGGGAAATAATTAGGGGACCAGATCATGGTAGATCGTCTTTTGGAAGGACACAACAGTTCTCCCACCATGGAAGGACTGGAGACAGAGTAAAGGGGAAGGAGGAAGAAGATTTTAATAATAGTCAGAAGAATAATAGAGGTGTGAACTTTAGAAGAGAAATGAAGGGTGACAATATTACTGACTTTGCTGGTCCAAAAAGTCTAGCAGAGCTTAAAAGCAAGAAAAATGGTGAGACTAGCGAGCAGCAATCACTTGGGAAGAGAAAATACTCGATGCTTGATGACTATCAACAAACTGGTGGTGATCTCCCATTTGAAGGGCCTAAGCCTCTGGAAGAGATTCTGAAGCAGAAAAGAGGTGAAATAGCTTCCTCAGGTAATTATAGAGACAATAATCAAAAGGAAGAAGGATCGCGGAAAATGACAAAGATTACTTCGACTGTGGAGGATCAGCGTGCTCTTTCCTCTGCACCTGTTAATGAGGATTCCAAGTCTGCATCACATGATAATGACGGAGCAGAAAAATACGGGTTAAGTGATGCTAGAAAGCTTGATGGAATGATAGTTGAGGATCAATTAGATGACCAAGAACATGAAGCGTATGAGCAGAGGGATGGTGTGTCTGATTATGAGCAAGTGGATGGAGAATATTATGACGACTTGGATGAAGGTGAAAATGGAGAAGCTGAAGATGAATACCCTGATGATGAAGATGGAGACGAATTTGCAAAGAAGATGGGTGTCATGTACTCTTGAGAAAGATAAATGTTGGATTTGTGGCTTCTGCTGTTAATCCAATTTGTTTTGATTTGCTCTGTGTTGGCAAATTCAATTTTTTCTCTACTGGAGTTTAGAAGTAGAGAACCCTCCTATTTATCATCTTAAACATTTATTCATCGAAGTCTTGACTGGACGATACTTCTCTTCCATCTTATGGTTTTGGATAGTTAATGATTTTCTTTGACTGCAAGGGTCATGGCTATTGTTAGAAGATCAATATCAAATAGTGTTTTATTCATATCTATTTGTTGAGGTTGATGATTTTATAGATCTAATGACTGAATAGGGTGACAGATATACAGTGGACCTCGTTGGATACAACAGTTTATTTCTTTTGAATGTGGATTAATTCAAGTGAGTTTAGATTTTGATTTTTTGCTTCCACAAATGTTTTCTAATGCAATAAAATGATGATTATATAGACATAAAACTTCTTTTAAATGTCATCTTGAATTGCTATGCTCCATGATGACATGTTTTTCTTTTGGTGTTTGTGACTTGATATATGATATTGTTTTAAAGCCATTTTCCTTAGATAACTCATTATAAAATGGAAAACTATCGGAAAAATATGATTATTGCACCCACCATTAACTGATTTCATGAAGATTTTGATTTTCCATGGCTGGATAAAAAGCTCAAAGTATGTTGCAGTTTATTTTTTATTTGCAAAGTTTCACCATCTAGCGAAGCGAGTGATTCAGTAAAATTTTGCTCTTACTATTTAAAACCTGATAGGGAAGACGATTTGGAAGACATAAGCATTTATTCTTTGTAACTTTATAAATGGTCAAATTTTACTTTTAATCATATGTTTCAATGAATATATGTATTATTCATCTCCCCATGATCCATTTCTATCTATTTATTAATTGAACCGTTTTTAAATTCTTTCCAAACAGGGGTTTAGATGTTTTATTATCAAAGGAAATATCTCTTCGAATTTTGAAGAAGTAAAATGGGTCAAATAATTATCTTATAAAACATTGTAATTGCATAAGTCGCCTTATTCAACAAACGGAAAGAATTGTGCCATGTTACGTTGATTCACATGATTATCATATTGTACTAATGGTAGGCGATCGTGTGACCTTGGCTATTTTGCAATTAATGCAAATTCATAGAGCTCGAAACAGAAATTGGACGATACTCGATATAGTTTAGGAACACAAAGTATTCAAGGTTAAAGGCACATAGAATTTGGAGAGCTCGAGATAAAGTTCTAGATACATAGAGTTGGATGATTTGATGCTTTTCGCAAGAAAAGATGTAATTTTGATTAGCATCTTCATGGATTGTCTAATTGAGTTTGGAGATGCATCGGAACTAAGGATGAATGCTAACACGTCTAGCTTGTACATGGTGGGTATCCATGGGTAAGAGTTGGAGGAAATCCTTGAGTTAACTAATTTACCCAACGGATCTATGCCATTTCGTTACTTCGGAATTCCACTTGCGGCCGAAAAATTAAAAATCAGCTCTTATGATACGATCTTGGATAAAATTTTGGGCTACATTTGTGCATGGACAAGGTCTTCATTATCCTATGCGATGAGGGCAGAACTTGTGAGAACTGTACTACAAGGTGTGGAATATTTTTGTTTGTCCATTTTCCCAATTTCGGCTACAGTTCATGGACTATGGAGGTTTGGAGGTCATACATCGATGATTTGATGCTTTTCGCAAGAAAAGATGTAATTTTGATTAGCATCTTCATGGATTGTCTAATTGAGTTTGGAGATGCATCGAAACTAAATATGAATGCTAACACGTCTAGCTTGTACACGGTGGGTATCCATGGGCAAGAGTTGGAGGAAATCCTTGAGTTAACTAATTTACCCAGGGATCTATGCCATTTCGTTACCTCGGAATTCCATTTGCGGCCGAAAAATTAAAAATCAGCTCTTATGATGCGATATTGGATAAAATTTTGGGCTACATTTGTGCATGGACAAGGTCTTCATTATCCTATGCGATGAGGGCAGAACTTGTGAGAACTGTACTACAAGGTGTGGAATATTTTTGTTTGTCCATTTTCCCAATTTCGACTACAGTTCATGGACTGTGGAGGTTTGGAGGTCATACATTACTCCAAAAAACTCTTTTATACTATGGTTGTGAGCCCAATCAAAACTACTCACTAAAGACAGGTTGATGCATCTAGATATTGATAGAACTTGTATTCTTTGTTGGTCACAAGTTAAAACATGCCAACATTTATTCTTTCAATGTGCTATTACTTCATGCATTTGGCATGTAATTAGAAAGTGGTTAGGGATAAGGAGATCGATGACAACACTACCTAGCACATTGAAGTGGATGAAAAAAGAAGCTCAAGGTACCTCTTGGCAATCAAAAGCTAAGAAAATTGCACTTGCTCACACGGTCTACCAAACCTAGATGACGAGAAACAGAAAGATTTTTGAAGATCTTAAATCACATATTGATAGCATAGTGAAACTGATTAAAACACATGTATACAAAATCATGTTCTCTTTCAATTATAATATTTTGATCCATTTTAAGTCTTTAACATTGAGTCTTTAGATCTTATCATTTGTTCATCTTTTGACTTTGTTTAGTTTAAGCATGCCCGGTATACTTGTACATGAGTTTTGATCAATATAATTTTACATTTATCGAGAAAAAAGAATTTTTAAATTTGACGTCCAGATCGGCCAACCATTAAAATATGTGAACTTTGATACATTGATTCGAGGACTAACCCTTGAAAAACATACAAAACAGATGCAGAGATGAACTTTGTTTGCCTTAAGAACATGGAAGATAAAGTAGAGCATTCAACAATATAGCAAAGAAAAAAGAGAGAGATTCTTGTCCTACATATATAAAGAGTGGTCGATAAATCATGCCTAAAAATGAATGCGAAATGGAGTTCTCTATCTCTAGACTACTCAGATAACAGACGAGTGGCAAAAACTACAAGAAGAAAGTAGGAGGAGGGAGAGAGGAAACGGCAAAAGCTCGGCTTTGCCAAGTGGACGAATTCAATTTGGAGAAAAAAAACAGTTGGAATGCACGAGTACGAGTGTTTTAATCATCAACAACTCATATACTCACATGTTCTTCTCGAGGCAAGCTTTGAACTGTATCTGACCATCTTCCTGGTGAATGGTCGCTACTATTAGAAGACACTTGAGCTTTTGCTCTTGCCTCTCTAATCATCCTTAAAACCTCCCCTGTCGCAGGGCGGGTCTCTGGTGCAACAGAAATACAAGCCACAGCAATGTTCAAAAGTGCGCTGATCTTTTCCTCGGAAGCCTCATTGCTAGATGATGTACGGTCATCGCCCGACTCAGTCTCTTCTCCACGTACTGATCGCACCCATTTAGGGATATCCGAGCCATATTCTTCAACAAGGTCTTGGGAAGGAGTCTTTCCTGTCAGGAGCTCGAGGAGAAGGATGCCAAAGCTATAGATATCGGCTTGTTGCGTTAGTGGCCTTCGCACGTCACGACATTCGGGGGCTCGGTAAAAATGGGAAGAAGCACTCGATTCCTCAATGGAATCTATGTTTCTAAAAGGTGTTAGGCCGTAATCTGTGAGACAGGACTCGAAATCCGACCCCAAAAGTACGTTTGACGGTTTTAAGTTCCCATGAGTTAGACCAGGGTTCTGATGGATATAAAGCAGTCCAGTTGCCAAATCCTCTGCTATTTTAAGGCAGGATGTCCAATGAAGAGGCTTTGAACCACCTGAAGTTCTTGATCCTGCAAAGTAATTACAGTAAATGTTCATGAAAGAAGAATTATTGAAACAATCAGCCTAAGACATTCCACATTTCGTCTTTGATCGGGAATTTACCATTCATTCCTTAGAATACTAGCATAATTGACAAGCTTGATATAAGGAGTAAATATGCAAATAACCAGCACTTCATTTCGCTCTATTAGATTCTACATTTGCAACTCAGATATAAAGATGAATGCGTTTTTTTCTTACTTTTTACCCCCCAAAAAAGTTGAATATAGTTTGAATAGATAACAAGCTTGAAAGAAAGTCCACCAATTTTAAGTCTTCATATGGAATCTCCTTCGAGTTCAAAGTCAAATACTTGTAACATAACTTGTTCTTAAAACCAGAAAAGTAATAATTGTTAATTTTCAATCTTTTGTTATCTAATAATTTGCTTTTTGACAGTGAATACCTAGTCAATCAGTTTGATAATTGTTACAGATCAAAAAAGAGGTCAGGCAAAGATCAATCAAGTACAACTGTACAAATAATAAGTGCATTCCAGTTGAAGTAATCTTTTGTAATTCTTACTGCTCAGTTCATTTTGGTGAACTGAGACTACATAAGATGAAAAATGCTCTTCTTGCAAGAATTGAGGAACCATTAGCCAGAGGGGAATGGAATATGAGGGCATCATAAGAAAGTTCTTCATAATTTACTAGGAATGCTATAATTTGTCAGAGCTCATACCATGTAAGGTAAAGGAAATGAACATATAAGGAAGTGACAGAATCGCTGTTAAAAGACAATGTGAGTAAAAGTTTTACTTCACAAAACGCCAGCACAAAAATGAAAAATACGCCCTTAGGTCAGGATGATGCTTCAAGAGATACTACTGCTCAACAGAAATAAGTATAATGCATGATGATAAGGACCATTTGAAAATGTATATATTGGATTCCTCTATGGCATTGGAAAACAAATTTCTTATCGAAATCAAATTGAGGAAAAAAACATTATCTATAGAAAGTGAACTGAAAAGGTTTGACCTGGAACATATAGGATGAGAAATAAAAAGTGAACAAGATATAGGATTCTATGTACTGCTTCATCTGTAAATGTAATAATTACTGTTTGCGACAAAACGTATATTATAAGGAAGTATCTGGAACATATCATATTGGTTGTAAGTTATCCATGCATCTGTCTAACACTGACAGACCAGGAGAAAATTTCCTAAATTTGCCCATCTACATTGGAACTTCATTTAACTTTGAAGAGCATCTTTCGATTTGTTATGGGAAGCATATAAGGTCCTGTTGCAATTCAACATTAGATCAGAAGTTCCCTTTGCAGTGATCAGGAGAAACACTTCATACGTGCAATGAATAAGGTTCAATTTATTAATAAAAGAAACATCGTGCAAAAACACACTACAAAGCAATAAATGTTGGCTTATATGTTATTCAGAGAAGGTGAAAAGAACATACCGTGAATGAGAGTGAAAAGACTGCCATTGGGAAAATAATCATACACGAGCAGGCGTTCTTCCTTTGCCTGGAAATAAGCCCCGAGAGGAACAAGATTGGGATGCCTTAACCTGCCAATAATTTCAATGTGTCGCCTGAACTCCTCCATCCTTGGATACCTAGCATCCTTTAGCCTCTTAACAGTGACAATGTAACCCGACACCATCACCGCTTTGTACGTGCTCCCCATGCTTCCCCTACCCAACATCTCGGCTGATGCCTTCAACAAATCCTCCAAACTATAGCTCATTTGCTGATCCCCTGATCCGAGGAACACCAAACTCCCTGGTCCCTCACTGCCTTGGTCCCATGAGAATACTCCTTGTTTTCCCTCATTATCACCGTCCCTACCAGCACTAGTCGTCCCCTCGTCTACTCGTGCTGCCACTTTACTCATTGCCTCCTCTTTCTTACTTCTCCTCCACAAACATGTAATCAGAACTATAGCTAAAATGCACAACACAAATCCACCAATACATGAAACAATAATAAGAAAAAGCTTCTTATTCATCTTATGATGCCTCGATTTGTTAGTGGGCGGGATTGGATACAATGGACTAGCAGAGGGACCAAAATTACACGGTTTTTTAATTCGCTCACCACATAAATCAATGTTACCACTGAATGAGGATTGATTAAATCTAAACAATGAACTGGTCACAGGGATTTCACCAGAGAGTAAATTATTAGACACATTAAAGAACCTTAAACTGGTCTGATTAAAAGGTGGAATATCACCGGTCAATTGATTATCCTGCAAATAAAGCACATACAATCTGCTCAAATCAGCAAAGGACTGAGGAATGTGACCTGATAAACTGTTACCAGCAAGAACCACCACTTTCAGGCGGTGCAAGACTGAAATCCCAACAGGGATTTCGCCGGAAAACTTATTATCATTGAGGTAGAGAGATTTCAGATTTGCGAGGCCAGAGAGTTGTGGAATTGACCCAGAAAGAGAGTTTTCTTTAAAGCTTAAAACCCTAAGCTGATCCAAATGATTCAGGCTTTTTCCGTCCAGTGTGCCACTCAAATTTAGTCTTTCAACTACAAGCTTAATAACCCTTCCATTCATGCATTCTTTAACCCCTTCCCACTTGCAGAAATCAGTTCCTCCTCCCCATTGAAGGTAACCCAATGGGTCAATTACAACCTTTAATGCAAGAAGTGCTTCTGCATCTCCTGATCTTACTTGTGGAAATGCAATGAATAACAATGATGAGAACAAGAAGAAGAAGGAGAGACCCATAGATGGTGTTTAATAATGGCAGCTCTTTAACACACATATATATCTAACAATCAAATCTTGATTTCAAGATTTCCATAAATAAAAGGCAGACAAATGGTAATCAAATCAAGAAATGGGGAGCTATGATGAGCAAAAAAAGTTCACAGAACGTTGAAGGCAGGCTGGATATATAGAATCCAAAAGACATTTGGTTTTTCTGTCTTTACTTGTAAGATACTCACTTTCATTATGAGAATCCCATCTCCAGATCTAGCGCTTTCAAAAACGGGTATGAGTTATATGAAATGACAGGATCATTGTATTTGTATATCATTGGGTTGGGACCCAATTAGCGTCATTATCAACGCCTAAAATTTGACAAATACAATAAAATGTTTTACAAGAAAAGAACACACCGACACAACACCCAGAAAACAAAACAAGCCTAGAATGAAAATTTTATGTAGTAATGAAAAACTCTTCTTCTTCTTCGACAATGGAGTTACAGCAGAACCCAGTCTCTCTCTCTCTCTAAAAAGAAGTGAGGATTTTCATCAACTTTTTCAGTTTCTCTCTCTAAGAAGTGTGTGCATTTAGTTTTTTCATCAACTTCTTTTGCTCACGAACATATGGGTGAAGCTTCACGAGAAATCAGCTCAGAGCAATATATATTTTTAGAACAATTTTTAAAACCCATCATAATTTCAATTGAGGACACCTCCTTAAATGTTCACTTTGACTTAAATTTTAATTTAATTTTTTTTCTCAACCAAACATGATAACACTTTTTTTTTTTTTCGTTTATACTTTACCATCAACTAAGGTTGGTTTTCGTTGATACATAGGTCTGAATTTAGTATGTGTTTGAGCCACATTATTTTGGTGATAATGCATTCTTGAATAGTGTATTGATGAGAAATGTGTGGTTAAAAAATAAGGAAAAGTTTTTGATTTGCGTGTAATATTATTTTATTGAAGAATGTGTGGTTGAAATGATATCAAATTACTGTTTAAGAATGCATTTTTTTTGGAATAATGTGGCTCAAACAGACCCTGAATTTAAAAAAATTGATGATTGCAGGGCAAAAAGGAAATATTTTAATTTAATTGTTAGTCGTAAATGATGAAAAAAATAATTAAGCATTAAGGGTCTGTTTGATTGCAAAGATGGAATTGAATTGCCTAGAATTGTTTTCCTGGGAATTGTAAATTATTGTGTTTGATTGGTATAATTTTTCAGGTGAAAAATGTTGAAATAAAAGTATTTTTTTATGTTCGTTTGGCTTTATTTTACATGAAATTATCAATTAAAGGAAAATATTTTTTTATAGTAATTCTTAGAATTGGTTTCCATTACCAACAAAAAAAAAAAAGTCGCTACAGTAGGGTGGAATTTGATGGTGAGAATTCAAATTCAACCAAAACAAGGAAAATTCCAAATTTCAAGAAATCCAAGAAATACAATTCTATGGAAAATATAAAGTATCAAACACCAAAAGTTGGAATTTCCAATTTCAATTCCATCTTTTTTTTTCCATTTTCATGCTATCAAACACTCTCTAACTTCAAGTAGTTGACTTGCACATTTACAAAATCCCGGGACAGTGACCAAACATTTGCATGCTTTTTGAAACTTGTGGTGTTTGATAAGTATTTTTATGTAAAAATTTATTTTAGAATAGTAAATTGATGTGAAATATGTGGTTGAAAAATAAGGAAAATTTTTTAATTTACGTGTAATATTATTTTAATAAAGAATGTGTAGTTGAAAAGAAGAGAGAAAAAAATGAATTTTTAAAAAAATGGCTACCAAATGGATTCATTTCACTTAGAAATATAGATACAATCAATGTGAAACATATTTATTTAAGATGCAAATAATTCATATATTTTATTTTAGAGCATTTTTAAGAAACTCTCTTTTTAAATATTTTTTTTTTTTTACAATTTAGAGAGTATATACAAATAGTAAAAATTTTAACTACTCCATCGGACTCTTTATTTAATACTTTATCAGTCCCTTTATGTTTAATATTTAATTTTACTATTTTCCAAAAATATTTATTATTATTTTTTATTTTCACTAACTTACCTCAAAATTTCAAGATTTGACTCCTCGAGTGCCAACCTACTCTCTTAGATTGGTCGGGGGAGCAGTTAGGTCTAAAAATGATGGGAAAATATAGGGTGGATTGCAAACTGGGCAGGGGTAGGGACAGGTGTTCCCAACGCAGCATCTATACGACTAAGTTTTTTTTTTAATCAAATTATCCGATGATGTTGCACATCGAGTCCTCCTATTTCTAATCCCTTTTTCATTTTCAGATTTTTTTATATGTATTTTCAATTTTGAATTGTCGTGATTTTCATTAATATTCACCAGATAAAAATCTTCATAAATTGAGCTATTTTTAGAGTACCTCTGTAAATCGAAATTAGAATTCATGTTGAACCTACTTGTGTAGCTAGCATGATTGTAAGCAGGTTACAATTAGGATAAAGCTTTGTGCACAGAGATTTTTTTTTAACAGAAGTCTTACCGATCCTTCACATGGATCGGTCCCACGTGAGCCCAGATGTAATAAAAATAAAGTAAAAAATTTCAATCCCACCCATTTGTAAGAACTTTGTAAGGGTTGTATAATGTGCTGCCCTTACAATTAACTCGTGGTACTGATGCTCTTTGTAATCATAGCTCATTCATTACACTATGGGCCCTACGCTCCAGGGTTGTTGAGAATTCTTTATAGCCAAGTGAGCCCACCCCTTAATTGCTTCAAATTGAACTAAAAAATAAATGAAGCAATGAAAAGACTCGCTCTTATTACGATTTCGACATGTTTTCTTAACGAAGTCACTATCCATGAATTGACCTGCTATATACACAAGTAAATGGATTATGAGTTCATTTAGTAGAATTTCTGCTTTTTACAGAAAAATTTCTCGATAAATTTATCGTGTATCAATTTCCTTTAAAAGCTCTTCCGATCAGTATTTCTAAAAAATTATCAATGCATGTTAATTCCAGGCCCAAGGGCAGTGGAGTTGGAGTAGAGATGTTGATGGACTTGCTTATAGACATGTATGTAGCCTATACATTTTAACGTTTTGAAGAGGTACTTAAAAACCATTTGATTATATTAATAAAACCAATTTTTTTTCCCCTGCATGTCATCATTCATTCAACTGGACCATAGCATCAAAATCTCTGAAAGGCCTACAAGGTTCCTTCTTGTGCCTTTACAAGGTTAAATATGAAAGACTTGAGACTAACATCACATTCAATACAGTGGAGTTGGAGTAGAGATGTTGATGGACTTGCTTATAGACATGTATGTAGCCTATACATTTTAACGTTTTGAAGAGGTACTTAAAAACCATTTGATTATATTAATAAAACCAATTTTTTTTCCCCTGCATGTCATCATTCATTCAACTGGACCATAGCATCAAAATCTCTGAAAGGCCTACAAGGTTCCTTCTTGTGCCTTTACAAGGTTAAATATGAAAGACTTGAGACTAACATCACATTCAATACAAATAAGCTCAAACTTACGACGAGAACTAAAACATCAGTTGTCGATTGTTAGTTCCATACTACAATATATGACCTTCCAAAATTGAGGTGCCGAAAAATGGATACGTGGACTGACCAAACCCACAAGTTATAATGAAGGTTTGGAATGTGGGATTAGCCATTGTTTGAGCCTCATTTTCATCGAAATATATTTTACCGTTTCTTCTTTTCAACCACACGATCTTCAATAAAAAAAAATATTACATGCGAATTGAAACTTTCCCTTATTTTCAACCATACATTCTCCAAAAAATAACTCCATCAAAATAAACTTTTAACCAAAAATGGGGCTCAAACAAGGGCTAAAAGTTTAGATTCAAACTTCTAACTCCACCAAACTTTTCTCGATATCCTATTAACTATAAGAGAAAGAAACTACATATGACGAAAATAAATAGAAATTCATACACAAACATGCACCAAAACTTGAAATTTAGTGTGAGAGCCACTAGGATTACCGAAATAGAACCCATTACATTTTAATTGAGATTTATTCCATGTAATACAACAAATTTCAGATTTGGTAAGAAATTCTTGAATGGCATTTCAATTGTTGTTTGTGATTTATCAGAGACTATAAGGTTAGCACCATTCCATGTCCAAAAGTGGTATTGCAATGTCCAAGTGTGTTGTGGTGTGAACCCACCATGTGGTTGAATAAATAGCATATTGTACAGTTTAGCTAGCTGTACAGCATCGTTGATGATTTTCCAAGACTGGCTGCAGCTATTCCTGTAACACTAATATTATCAATATCCTACATTACTATAGCTATTTAGCACAAACAAATTTATAGGAGAAGATTGTTACCTGTGTTCGATTATCGACCTGTTCCATTGCTGCTTCTATTCTTTTTAAATTATTTTCTCATAGCATCTGAGACCAAATGAACTATTTCTTTTCAACTTGGACAAGCTATAACCATGTTTGTCCTGCATATCACTATCGTTATCAGGATCAACAAATCAAGCTTACAACATGTTTCATCTATGAAAGCGCTATGTCCTTTCTCCAATTGATTGGTACCACTGGAAGTTTAATTGGCATAATCCTGAGCAGAAGAGAAACAAGATCACTTAAAATTGTTCAATGTCAAAATCATTAGAGAACTTTTGCTTTACTGGTTCAATATGCGAATCATGAATTACAGAAGAACAAAACTATGTTTCATGCTGTCTAGAGAATTAGTACGTTGAGAATTCTATCCAATGGAACTTACCATGTAACATAGGATGTTATCAAAATTCGTTTTGCTATATTATGGTGCATGACTACTTGTTATGATTGCAGTAGCTGGGACATGAACTCCTGTAAGCAGCAATGAATCAGATGGAGGTGCAAAATAGATTCGATACACATTTTGATTATAAAGCTTTGTTTGTTTTCATTGCCATATCAAGGATATGGACTTCGAGTGCTAAAAAAAAAACTGTCAAAGAAAGAGGAAACTTACAATATGAAATGGAAAGTTAAGAATCTATGGTATGATCCACTGAAACTGTAACCTCCCAATTTAAACAAGTATGACTAAATCTCACCTATCCGTATTAGGTTATTAGCTATAAACCAGAGTACTGAATAAGTTGCAACATCAAGTCAATAAACAGCCACAGTTCATGCTAATGTTCCAAGGGAACAATAACCCAAATTTCATGTAGTAGTTGCCTAGTTAAAAAAGGTCGATTATGCTCAGGTTCACCACCTAGGTCAGACGAAACCACAAACTGCATGAAGCAGTTCCCTAGTTAAATGGTGCAAGATCAAACCAGTTTACTCCCCCGCAACCACACACTTCATATTTTGACCCTTCTTTAAGTTAAACTTTACAGCAACTATGTGTAAATTAATTATTCAACTTCCAATCATCAAAACATGGTTAATGCAACTTAATCAACAACCGTGTATTCAATCTAACATAGTGCATACAGTAAATAATCTCTCTTCCATCCCATGGAGACTTGATCTAATATATTTCCATATGAGATAAACTGTTGAATACATATTTATCATTTATCAGCTTTCCGTGGAGATATGACAAAACAGTTTATCCTACACTGGCCAATATGAGTGGTTTCAATTGAAGCAGTGGCCAGAAGTTGATCTCCATCAATCAAGAAGAGAATTTGGACACTTGCAAATAAATGAGCACTTTCAACTGAAGCAGTGGCCAGAAGTTGATCTCCATCAACCAAAAAACGCTTTTTGTTGAGTTGACAAAAACCAGAGTTCTGAAAGGACTCCAAATGGAAAAGAGGAAAAACGGAAATTGTGTTAGATCTTTGATTGAAACGAAATGTAGAAAATTACAGATATTAAAATGACTACAGGACTCCTCCTTTCACTCAATATTTGCCGCCCGAATACTGCCTTGCTACTCTCTTTTATAGACTCCTCCGAAGTTTGTTACCCATTATTCCTTTCAACAGAATTTAGTTTACCCTTCCCCGCCACCACTTGCAGGCCCCCCCTTCTTATCCCTTCTAGAATATGTGAAATGAATTGGTGGCCTAACATGACCCCCGGTTTCCAAAGATACCTTGTCCTCAAGGTGAAAGTCAGGAAAGTGTTGCAAAATTGATTCAGCTGATTCCCATGAAGCTTCAGATGGGGGCAGGTCCTTCCATTGTACAAGGACATCCTTGCCTGTCAATGTTCCAGATGAGCGTTGATGGATGTCCAAAATCTCATCAGGTTCAACCACCCATTCCAGATTAGCATCAAGGTTAGGGAAGCACCTGACTTGTCCCTTGTGCTCCTCGAGCCTTTTTCATTTGAGAGATATGAAACACAAGATGAATAGCCGCGGTTGGTGGCAGTTTCAAGCAATAGGCCACCGATCCTATATGCTTTTCTACATCAAACAGGCCAAATTATTTGGGTCCCAGTTTCTCATTGGGTTTCTTGGCTAGGGAACTGAGACAATAAGGACGAAGCTTGATGTACACCAATTCCTACCTCAAAGTGAATGTCTCGCCGTTGACGGTCTGCAGCCTCTTTCATCCTTTCCTGAGCATGATGCAAATGAGACTTCAGTTCATCCAACATGTTATCTCTGGCTTGCAACTGCTGTTCTACTGATGGTACTGCGGTGGACTGGCTGCCATAACGGATTAATGGGGGCGGATCCCTGCCATAAACTGCCCAGAATGGGGTTGTCTTTGTGGAAGAATGAAAGGTGGTGTTGTATCAATATTCTGCCCACGGAATCCAACTGCTCCAGCTCTTTGGTTTGTCATAGGTGAAGCATAACCACTTCATTCTGTCCATCAGTTTGCCGGTGATAGGCTGTGCTCTGGTGAAGGAAAGTTCCCCATAGGCAAAATAATTCTGACCAAAAATGACTCAGAAATACTTTGTCATGGTCTGAGACGATGGATCTTGGAATGCCACGGAGCTGACTATTTCCTTGATGAAGATGTCAGCTGCCCTCGCTGCTGTGAAGGGATGTTTTAATGTCAAGAAATGAGCATACTTAGGCAATCGACCACCATCAATAAGAGATTATAACCCCCAGAATTTGGTAGCCTTTCCACAAAATCCATTGAAATGTTCTCCCATATAAGGTGGGGGCTAGGCAGATGTTGTAGGAGGCCAACTGGATAGAGTGCAAGATTCTTACTCTGCTGGGCAAACGGGATATTCTTCCACGAACTTCTTGATGTCCCGCTTCATACCTAACCAATAAAGTTCATTAGTCACTTTTTTATATGTACGAAGAGAGCCAGAATGTCCCCCCGATGGGCTACTGTGAAATTCCTTTAGAATGGCCCAGAGCAGTGGTGAGGATTGTGGTCGTGCTAGATACCCTTTGTAAAGCAACCGTCCGTGTTCTACTGAGAATCATAGATATACATCTCGATCTTCCTGCAACCCCTTCTTGATTTTGGAGAGGAAAGGATCGTTTTCAACCTGAGCATTGATCACCTGACTATCCATGACCACCTCACCGGAAAGGAATGCCAACTCAATAGGGGAAGGTAGGCGCAACAATGCATCTACAGCCTTATTCTCCATGCTCAGCCGGTAATGGATCTCGAAGTCGTACCCCATTAGTTTTGTCAACCACCGCTGGAAATCTTCTGGAATTACCCGTTTTTCTAAAAGAAATTTCAGACTCCGTTAGTCAACACGCACTACAAATTTCCTCCCCAGCATATAGTGCCTCCATTTTTGGACAGGCAGGACAATTGCCATCAACTCTCTCTCATAATCGGACTTATGTTAAGATTTCATGAATAAAACCTGACTGTAATAGGAAATAGGGCATTGTTCCTGCATAAGAACCACTCTTAACCCGTAACCAGAGGCATTTGTCTCAATAATAAAGGGCTTTGTAAAATCTGGTAGAGCTAATACGGGAACAATTGTCATTGCTAACTTCAGTTTCTAAAATGAAGTCTTCGCTTCATCATTCCACCTAAAAGCATCCTTCTTTGATTGCCGAGTAAGAGGCCATGATATCGCCCCATAGCCTGCTACAAACCTCCTATAGTATCCTATCAACCCCAAAAATCCTCGGAGCTCTCGAATGTTACAGGGAGTTGGCACAAAAAGAAACTCCAGATATTTGATATCTTATTCAAAATTGTATCATGGCAGCTACTTTGCAAGGTCGGCTGCCACTCCTTCAGCTGAGACTAGATGCCCCAAATACTATATCTGGTGCTGCCCAAAGTGACAATTCTATGTTCTATGTGCTAGGTCTGAAAGTGTGATTGGCAATTCTGTAGACATAACGGACGTAATTATATGTTTACAAAACTCAGGGACTCAATTGAACATTCTTGTAAAAGTCAAGGGTTTAGAGTGCAATTTTGTATAGATGAGGTAAATTAGTGTTCGAGTCGTTGAAGGAGTCCAAGATGTCCAAGAAGATCACACGAGATCATTGGAATGCAATTTGAAGTTTAAAGGATATCAAAGAGCCACACAAATTATGTTTCGGATTTTCAGTCGTAACTTGCAACACATTTTTCTCATAGAAAATATTGGAATTTGGACAAGGCTATTTCTAGAAAAATTGTAGCCCCTTGAGTTAGCTTTCCAACGCAAGTTGAATCACCTCAATCGGACATCGGGACAGAAAGTTATGATGAAAATACTGACGACTGCTCATTGTCGCTCGATTCTCGCTGGCATTTCGCTCGAGTGAAAAAAATAGAATAACTCTCGCTCGATTCTCCCTAACATCTAGCTCGAGCGACATTCCTATGCGGCAAAACCCCTAGTTCGCATTTTTTAAGTGTTTTGCTCGGCCCATACCACCTAGACACCTTCAAATATAAATACTCAAGCCCTAGCACGAATTTTCAAAAGTTGCTACATTATTCTTTCACTACAAAAGATATTCGCAACATCTTTGAAGAGATCCAAGGTGCAATTAATTGGAGATTCCATCTACATCAATCTTGTGATCCGACAATCATTGTTTTGGGGAAAAACATCGAATCTACATAACCCAAAACACTTAGCTTCCTTAATCTATTGAGAAAGGGACTTTCTCATTGGAGGATTGAGAGAGGTAGATTGAGGCGCAGTTACAGGCAAAAGAACGAGCGGTTCTTGGTGTTCCATTTGGTGATACAATCAACTAAGAACTAGGAGGTTGTAGTAGACAACAGATTGGGCTGCAGGAGGTAGATTGAAAAGTCTAGCAGGAGACTAGAAGTATTTATAGCAGTAGATCGTGAGACTGGAACAACGGGTCTAATAGGGTATGGAGTTTGGTATAACTTGTACTTGCTGAATTGGTATAGTCGAGGTAACTGGCTTGGTCCCGGAGTTTTACCCACGTTGGCTTGGTCTCGGAGTTTTACCCACGTTGGGGTTTCTCCATTATCATATTGTTTGTTATTTACTACTTTCCATAATATACAAATTGCGGCATTGCAACATAGGTTAATTGATTTGTATGATTAATCACCTAGACAACTAAGTAAAGTGACTTGTTGCTTTAATTAGATTAATTCCGCACGTAAGGTCAAATTGGTTAAAGTGAAATTTAGAACGTAAACTTGGTAACGCATAAAATTTGAAATTTGAACTTGACACTGTATCGCGTTAGCCGAACATTCTAGCATATCTAAGCGTTCTAGGTGACTTCTCACTTTGCATTGCCAAAGAGCTAATGTGTTGCCAAAACTGACAAGACGACCTCCAAGTGTGCTAACAAATCCTTGCTATAGACCAGTATGTCATTAAAGAAGACCAACACGAATTTTCTCAACTGATTTCGAAAGACCTGATTCATTAAGGATTGGAACGTGGCTGGCGCATTAGAGAGCCCGAATGACATGACTAGAAACTCGTAGTGTCCCTCATAAGTCCGAATGCAGTCTTATGCACATCATCCTTATTCACCCTAATTTGGAGGTATCCCGACCTTAAATCCAATTTTGAAAAGATAGTGGCACCACGAAGTTCATCTAGCAATTCATCGATCATCGAAATTGGAAACTTACCCGATATGGTTGCCTTGTTCAAGGCGCTGTAATCTACACAGAAGCACCAACTACCATCTTTCTTTTTCAGTAGTAATACAGGGTTGGAAAATCGACTAACACTAGGCTGTATAATTCCAGCCGCTAACATTTCTTGGACCAATCGTTCAATCTCATTTTTTTGAATATGGGGACACCTGAAAGGCCTTACTGTAGGTTGAGAGACTTGAAAAGAGATGAGAAAACTGTCTTTTTTCTTTTCTTTTACATTACAGCCGAGTGCCCTCTTTTATAGTACTCAAGAGGGGCTAAAATGAGGAAATAAAAAATATTCTCATATCCTACCTTATCTCCAAGAATCATCCCTAATTACAATAATTACAATTTTCCCTAAATACAATAGTTAACTAAGGCAACTAAGATATTATCATATCTTTGGGATTTCAACACTCCCCTTCAAGTTGGATCATAAATGTTGATCATATCCAACTTGTGAATGAAATGATCAAATTTTTGTCGAGATAGACCTTTGGTGAAGATGTCTGCAATTTGTTCCCGTGTAGGAACATATGTCATACAAATAGTTCATTCATCTACCTTTTCTTTGATAAAGTGCGTCTACCTCTACATGTTTAGTTCGATAATGTTGAACCGGGTTGAGAGAAATGTTGATTGCAACTTTTTTATCACAATACAGTTTAATTGGAGCCGTTAACGTAACGTGCAACTCTTCCAGAAGTTTCTTTAACCACAGTCCCTCACATATCACTTGTGCTACTGCTCTAAACTCGGTTTCAGCACTACTTCCAGCTACAATATTTTGCTTCTTACTTCTCCAAGTTACTAGATTACCCCATACAAAGGTGCAATATCTAGTAGTTGACCTTCTATCATCTGTTGAACCTCCCAGTCTGCATCTGTAAAGATTTCTATTCCCTTTTCATCATTCTTCTTGAAGAATAATCCTTTTCCGGAGGATCCCTTGAGATATCTGAGTATCTTGTAGACTGCTTCAAGATGAGCTTCCTTCGGAGAACGCATATGTTGGCTTGCCACACTAACTGCAAATGCAATATTAGGTCTAGTATGTGACAAATAGATTAGTTTACCCACAAGTCGATATCTGTCAATATCTACAGAGTTTCCGACATTCTTGACCTTTTTTTCTACATCGATCGATCGGTGTATCACTCGATTTACATCCAAGCATTCCAATATCGATAAGGAGATCAAGTATATCTTTTCTTTGCGAGACACGGATACCTCTATGTGACCTTGCTATTTCCATTCCCAAGAAGTATCACATTTGTCCCAGATCTTTTACTTCAAATTCTGCTGCCAAACTCTTCTTTAGTCTATCTATCTCTATTATGTTGTCATCTGTCAAGATTATATCAACATAAACAATTAAGACTATTTTCGTCCCAACATCAAACTGCTTGAGGAACATAGTGTTTGTCCTTGTTGGTATTCTTGCCTCGTCAGTACCTTTGCAAATCTGTCAAACCATGCCATAGGTGAATGTTTGAGACCATATAGTGACTTCTTGAGTTAACATGTTTGATTCTTTTCGCCTGCTTTGCAAAAACCTGGAGGTAGTGTCATGTAAACCTCTTCTTCCAATTCTCCATAGAGGAATGCATTCTTAATATCCATTTGTTGAAGGTGCCAATCTAAATTTGTTGCCAATGATAAAAGTACTCGAATAGTATTCAATTTTTCCACAGGTGCAAATGTCTCTGTGTAATCAATTCCATATGTCTATGTTTATCCCTTGGCAACCAATCGTGCCTTGTACCTTTTTATTGTCCCATTAGCCTTGTATTTTAGGTTGAAGACCCATTTGCATCCAACTAGATTTTTCCCTTTAGGCAGCTCTACTATCTCCTAAGTTTTGTTATTTTCCAATGCTCGCATTTCATCCATTAGTACCTCTCTCCACTTTGGAACTTCCAAGGCTTCCTGAATGTTTTTAGGAATTTTGGTGTTGTCAAAATGAGAGATAAAACTACGGAATTCTGTTGATAGAGCATTATAGGACGTGAACTTTGAAATGGGATGAAAAGTACATGATCGAATTTGTTTTCTGAGTGCAATGGAAAGATTAATATCTGAGGATTCTAATACCTTTGTGGTGTCATGGGATTCTGGAGCTACCATCGGTTCTGACTCTTTTGGTACTTCAGGTGTAAAGTCCTCCTTCTACTTTGCTTTTGGTCTTCTTGAGTAGATAAGCATCTCATTGTCTCTTTGCTTTTCTGCATTTCCCCCTAAGTTCAAGCTATCTCCTATTAATGGCAAAGAAGGACTAGAAGTTATGATTGAGACAGGCTCTAATGGGAAGAAGATCTAAGTTTAGGTACCGATCTTCACTTTGATTCTCCCCCCGAAGAGAGGTTTGGCGAAAATATGGAATGTTTTCAAAAAACGTGACATCGAGACTCACGGTGACTTTTCCTATGGAAGGATCGTAACATTTGTATCCTTTTTGAGTAGGAGAGTATCCAGTAAAGACACATTTGATAGCTCGAGGGTCGAGTTTATTTCGGTGATTTTTAGGGATATGGATGAAGGCAGTACAACCAAACACTTTTGAGTAAGAAGTTTGAGTTGAGTCGAGAATTCAGAAAGGAGTTTTGGAACCATTTAAGAGGTGAGTCGAGGTTTAAGGTATGACTAGGCATTCGATTGATGAGGTACGTGGCTGTTAAGATAGCATCCCCCCAAAATCCATTTGGCATATTTGTAGTAAATATCAAGGCTCGAGCAACCTCTAGGAGGTGTCTGCTTTTCGTTCAGCAACCTCATTTTGTTGGGGAGTTTCAACGCAGGAGCTTTGATGAATTATCCCCTATGTTTGAAGGAAATCTCCCAAATTTTTGTTGAAATATTCTGTGTCATTGTCTGTGTGTAAAATTTTAATGTGTTTCAAATTGGTTTTGTACCATGGAGTGGAAGTTGATAAATGCAAAACGGACGTCAGATTTTTCCTTTAAGAGATATACCCAACAAATTCGGGTGTGGTCATCAATGAATGTGACAAACCACTTTGTATGAGTTTGATTAGGTATTCGTGAGGGACCCATACATCGCTATAAATAATTGTAAATGGTCTCGATGGTTTATACCTGGATTTGGGGAACAATGTTCTTTGGTGCTTAGCAAGTTCACAGAATTCACACTGAAAATTGACTAGTCTTTTATTCCCAAAAATAGAAGGAAAATACATTTTTCAATACTGAAAATTAGGATGTCCCATTCTAAAATGCCATAACAAAATTTCACTATTACTAGAGACAGATGCAGAATCACAAATAGCAATTTGATCTTGCTTACTCATATCAACCTCATCAAAGTAGTATAGTCCCTCACACTCCTTAACACTGCCAATCGTCTTCCCTGATGATGGGTCCTGAAAAATACAATATGAGGGAAGGAATTTAGCAGAGCAATTTGATTTATTTGTCAATTGGCTTGTAGATAACAAATTACATGATAAGTTCGAAACATGAAGGACAGATTCGAAGATAATGAAGTCAAAGATTCGAATACTCCCTTTTCCGGCGACAGGGGAAAGGGATCTATCTGCAATTTTAACTTTGAAATTTTCGGCATAGGTTGAATATGAAGAGAAAAGATGGTAGGAGCCCGTCATGTGATCCGATGCTCCTGAGTCGATGATCCAGGGAGTTTTAAAATTAGAGATAACGTTGAAGGCCTTTAAGAAGTTACCTCTATGAGCAAGTGAGCTTGAAGGTCCATTTGGGGAAGATTGGCTCAATGCTTGAAGGTTAGAAA